GAAGATCGGAAGATCAAACTCATCAAAGTAAGGGTTTATATAAAAAACAAAAAACGTATCATAACAAAACAATAAACAATCACGTGATCTCGTGTTATGATACGAGATTTTTGTAAAATTATTTTCTAAAAATATTAAGTTTAAAAATTCCGTATACATTCTGTATGATTAATTTTTTCCGTATACATTTCGTATACATTAGTTTTTTTAAAAAATGTTCAAAAATGAATTGCTTATTAAATATACGGAATTTGTATGCGGAATCTATAGAAACGTACATAAAATGTATACAAAACGTATCCTTTCCGTATACATATTTCTTATAGGGCATTAGCAAAATGGGCAAGAAAAAAAATAGTATTAGTAAGGATTTTATTTTTTGTCATATTTAAATGGCTGGGTTTATTTTTTTATTTTTATTTTCTAAAAAAAATAAGCTTTTTTTTTCAATTTACACAATCATGAAGGATATTTACAAAATTAATGTGATATTTCGATAAGGTTATATGTATCATGCATAATAATATGCACTATTTATTTTTATGTAGTATTTCACGTAATACTCAAAGATAATGAGCCACAAAATAACAAAATTTAAATAGAAATTAAAATGGTTATTTTTAACATTTAAGCATATAAATGAAAGAACATATTACTTTTGGGGCAACTACAGGTTAATGCTTCGATTCCGTAATTTTTGTAATAACCAAACGTCCAGTATCACGTGCCTTCAACGTTCATATTCACGTGACCAGATTGCGCAAACAATAATGTCTTCGCAAACTGAAAACTTGTTATGATAGTACTAGATAAACTATTTTAATATACTTGACAGTTGTTATTCTTAAGTATACATATTTTACTAAAAGAAATCATAAACTATACCTATTATCTTAAAGAGAAGTTGAACTGTTAAAGTGAGGCTATATTATAGAAAAAATGGTCATCTTAAAATGAATCGATGCTACTATATAATGAATGGAAGATACATACAGTACATTTATTATTTTTTTTTAATAGGCTATAAGATAAAGTTAATGAAAAGAAAATCCATTGAAAAATTGAGCAATAAATAAATCATTTGTACTTTGTTGAGAATGGTTCGCGATAAGCCTCGATGTGTTTCCATTATTAATGGGTACGTTAAATCGAAAATGTCTTCTTATAATTCTTTGTCTTCTTAGTTGTTTTTGTCTTTTTTGTGAAGGCATTTTCGTTTGTATAATATATGTATAATAAGGTTTAAGGAGGAGGTAAAAAAAAAAATATATAAATTTAATATACGTATACTTAGAGAAGAGATAAAAAGATATAAGATATTATATATATATAATAATATTATATAAAAAAAAAGTAAGAGTAAAAAAAAAAAGGAAAAAAAAAATCAAGAAATGAGAGAAAGGAAAATGAGGTGTATATATCAAGATTTTAGAAAAAAAATTTTTTTTTAAAATTCGGTGGAAGACGGATAAAAGAAAACGACGTATTTATATAATATTTAAATGTTAAAATTACACAAAACTACGTATAGAATATAGATAATGATTGATAATAGATCCAAACAATAGATGTTAAAATGTAACAATAAAATCATTAAGTGACCCAATTATTATTATAAAATTTAATTAAGCGTGGCGCAGAATAAAGTATTTCTTCTCCAAGTATCATACTCATGAATTTTGTGAAATGTTGTTCAAAATTACATGCCTTCTTTTCAAAAATAGTTAAATGATTTTTCTTATGTAAGACTATGTTATACATAAAGTAGTCGCCAATTATAGTACCAAATTGAACTTAAAAAAAAAAATTTTTTATGCAAGGATATGATTTACACATCACACCAATGCATAATACAAATTATACAATATAGGTGTGACAATTAACACTGAAAATTTTTTATGCATGATCCAAATATGAAGTTCACATATCTTGATCCGAATCTTTTTTTTTATTGATGATAGAACTTTTTGAACTTAGTACAGGAATTTTCAGAATGAGTGTGCATAAACTATTGTCGGTATGTCGGATCATCCGATCTATGCATCAAATTTATTGTCGGTAATTTCTTTATCGAATTTTAGTATCTACTATCGATATAGTCAAATAGTTACGTATTTATAGTTAGCGGTTAATTTAATGAAGTTTTATTTTGTAATAAATTGGATGATTTATTTGTAATTTAGACCAAAAGCGTAGGATTTAAGTTATAATTTTCAAAAAGTTTTTTTTATACGTAAAATGTGTTTATATATATTATATATAAAGAACTTTAAACGTAGGTTGCATTAAGCAACAAAAGCTAATATACATGTATGCCTATGCCTTTCAATTTATATTATCAAAATTATTTGACGAAATACCCGTCCTGTACAAATATAGGTAAGAGCAAGAATGGTGTTTTTCACAATATTGTCATGATCTTCTATATGTTGGAAACAAATTTTTTTTTTTGTAAGAAAAAGAAAAAAAAGTCGTTAAACTTTACTATTATTACATTTTGATCAATTGCTTAAAAAATAAAGACCAATATCATGATTTTCACGGCGCAGAAGTGAAAATCAATGATATCCGTGAAATAATGCAAATTCCGCAATTACGGGGCACACCTTAAAATTATAAAAAAAATGTTGTTGCCGCACATGATCCGGATGATTATTTCGGTAGTTATAAACTTTTTATTCGTCGATCCTTTACGTCACATACCACCTTCCAATAAAATAAGGTTTGTAAAACATCATTGTATAATAGAAAGTTAGGGATATGATAAATCTACCCGGTAAGACGAATACCAGTGGTGTAGGGTCGACCACCTGTGTGGTGTATGGTGATATTTAGCAGTGTGTAACAGTGTGTAAAATAAGGGGTGTGAACCATACACAGGTGATTAATAGCATTTCGGCCCACTCCAAATCACGTGTTTGGCGTGTCGTGTTATTTATCACCTGTGTAAACTGTCACATAGGAGACCATACACTACACATCTCCTTGACCCTACACCACTCATCTCCGTAGCACTCAATCTACCTCCATTTTACTAAAATATTGAAAGTAAGTTATTAGTTATTAATTACGTGTCATTAACACTAAGAATTTTATCAAAGGTCATCTACAATTTATTTATCTCTTCCTCAAAATATTAATAAACATCTTTTATTTAGATTTCACTCCTTTTAATATATTA